ATCCTGCAAGCAGTGGGACACATTTCCAAGGGAAGCCCATGAGTAAAAGGAAATGGTGTTAGTGTGGTTACAGTGGACTGGATGGTGGGAAATTGGGGACATAGACCTGGGACAGGGAGGGGGTTCAGGAGGAGGTGTGGTGCAGGAGGACTAGGGCAAAGGCAGTGGCCCTGGAGAAGGAATTAGGGGCTGAGCACACTAAGGCCCACCCTCAGTCTCTGGGGTCACCAGCACCCTGATGAAGACCTTCTCTGAGCCCCAGCCCTGTGAGTCCCTGAGACTCCCATAGCCTGTTTCCCAGTTGCCTTCCCGAGAACATGGAGAAGAGCCGCTTCTCTCCCCCAGCCACCATCTCCCATCAGAATCACTCATCCTGTTCTATGGAACAGCAAGAGCCTCACACTCAGCTCTTGGCAGGGAAACCCGCTTCTCTCCAGAGTGTCCTAATCCTGGTTCCCTTTGCCTGAGAGAAAGAACATGCACATCCACAAGGGGTTAATGTCTCCCTTTACAGTTAAATATTAGCTTCCGGAAAGCTGTTCGTTCTCTCAGGAGTGAAGCAGTTGAGACTTCAGCCTCTTTCTCCGAATGAACTGGAAATGGGGGTGGGGCAGGTAATGAAAGGGATGCCGCCCTCAGGGGCCATCTCACCTCTGCATGCACACACGCCTGTGCAGGCACACACACATCTCACCCACATACCTTACACAGGTGGGAAGAAAGGGAGATTGGGGGTAGAGGAGGAGGAGGGCAGTGTTGCTGCCTGAGGCACTGAAAAGAGAAAAGGACCCAACCTACACACCTGGCCATTTTTTCTTATTACCAGAGATTGGAAAGTGCCACCTCTTGAGATAGATCTCTCCTACATATGTGTTTTGTTTGGACCACGCAGTGTTTTTTTTAAATTTTTGAATTTGTGGCCAACATTTAAAAATCAAGAGAGATTTCACATTTTTAAAAAATGATTCTTGGCATGCAAAATGCTTGCTCCAGCAGCACGGGACTGGCCTTCATAAGGCTACAATCAGCAAAGCTCTGTAGTAGCCACTGGGTCCTACTCCCAATAGCAGTCTTCACCATGGTCCCCACCCAGTCCCTCCTCCCTCCTGTCCTCAAAGCACTATGAGTTTGCAAGCCCAGGTTTAAAGGAAGGTCAGAGTGGGTGATTAATGAACTCCAAGAGAGGAGCAAACTGGTTGTTTATCTGGTATAAAAGTGAAATGAGAAAGAAAGAATAAAAGTTAGATTGAGGGGAGGTTAGGTAGTTGCTCCGATGACAGTGATGAAGGTATTGAAGATCACTTTCTTGTGGACAACTCTTGCTCTCCTGTCATAAGAGGATGAGTTCACCATAGCAGGTTGCCATTCCCTATAAATAGGCTACTGCTGCCTGGTTGGCCTAACCAGGAGGACACTCTTCAGGACCTCTGTGAATTGTGTCTGGAATCTGTCCTGCTTCATCTCCAACTCACTTTTAACAGTGAATTCACAGACCAAGGAATTTTGTAGGAAAGGGGTTTGTTTTCTCCCCACAAAAGAAACAAAAATCGCAGCAGAGCTAGGGTTAGATTTCTTCCAGATTTGCCTCTGCTTGCTGTGATAAAGGAGCGCAGGCCCCCCCTACTCCATTATCACCAAGACAACCAGTGTTCCGAATTGCTTGTTTTAATGGACGTTCAAACATCCAGAGTTTGTGGTTCAGTTGGAAAGTGGTTTTCTGTGTTCCTTGTGTTCATCCTTCAAGTTCAGAGCCATCACCACCTGAGAGCACTTAGCAAGCTCAGGATAACTGAAAGAGAGCATAAATCCTGCTTGCTTTGAACACAACCCAGGGCTCACAGTATGTTCCTGAACTGGCCAACGGTAACCAGCTCTTCCTCTATCCTTCCCTCTTGTGTGCTTGTAAATCAAGAGGCCCCAGTATTAGTCACCACAAAAGAGATAATTAGTAAGTACAAAGCTGCTCCCTCCATCCATCACTCTGTGCCTTAGATTCCAGCTTAGCCAAGAGGTTGGAGCAAGCTAACATTGCACAAGGATGAGTTACTTAAACAAGATTATTTTTTGTTTTCAAACAAAGCTTATGAGTCTGTTTCACTCTTAATTCTGCATCCTCCCCAGTCATAAGAACAGCTGTGACCCAGGGCCAAAGGGAAGGTCCTTACCCATTGCATGAAGTTTGCCTTTCCTGGAACCCCAGGAATTTGAAATAGCAATGCTACTTTAATGGCATAGTCTTGGGGACTCAGAACTTTTAGGAATGCTTCACCCATCTTCAGTGATCAGGAAACAGAATAAGATGCCACTTTCTTTTACTGGGATATGCCATGTCCTCCCCAATAAGAGCTTGCTTGTGCCTTTGCCAGCCTTTTGTCCAATTGGAAAATTAATTTCCTGCTCTGGCAGGGCATATGGTCAAGGGCAACTGTTGCCCCCCAAAAATAAAGGCTGTTTCCAGACCCACTAAGCAGTCTAGGAACTTCCTTCCTGTGCCTTGCTGACCAAATATTGCTGGCCTGCATAGAAGTGTTCCACTCATGTATTTATGACTTGGGAGCTGCTCAAATGCACACTGGCTTCTATTTTTTCCATCACACAATGTTTCTTCCAGTTTTTGAATTTCCCATATCAACCACTTTGCTATTTTTAAGCAGAATATTTTCAAGCCAAAGTAGCTGGTCGGTATGATAAAATCTCACTGACTCAATTAGGAGCTTGAACTCTTCCCAGGTGGGCGGTATAAGCAGTATGAACTGGGCCTTGTCCCAGCCTTTCTCTTCTTCTAGAAGATGAGGGTACACAGTTGTATAATCCTAGTTCTTTTCCATTAAGATTTAAAATCATGTTTCATCATAGCTAAGATGCTAATTCTAAGAAACATCATACTGAAAGTGCTTGAAAGAAACATAAATTTTAGAAGTTCCACTGGTTAAAAGATCTTGAAACATCTTTAAAGATGTTTGTTCCCATGGTGACTGGATTGTTCACAACAGACTCTTGTGCTTTGAAATCCTTTAAGGCAGAATTGGCAACTTCTCCTTCCCTGTGTTGTGTTGTTTGATAGGACATAGTTGATCCTTTTTGAAGATCTAAATAACAAAATGTAACATCACCTTTCATCTCCTTGGCGGTGTCTTTCTAAGCAAATAAAGCATTTACTTTTTCCTTTGCAAGAAAATGTGGGATTTCAGATCTACTAAGGATGAATATTTGCTTTATCCATATCCAATGTATACCCCTCTGCTCTGTTTCTGAGACTTTCTATATGTACGGTAGCTTTTCATTTCAGTGCTGATTCATAATGTAAGCTTTTCTAAGATATTTAAGTGGCAGTTAAACTCAGGGTTGTAGTGCCAAGAGTGAGGCCAACACAGCAGAAATGACAAGAAAGACACCTGTGATTGTGTGGCCACTCTCAGGCAATGACATCCATATTGTGACTGCTCCTTGGCAACAAACACGTACCCACATCAATCACACTTGTTACAATATGAAAAAAATAAGCATTTAAAAATAGCTAAATAATGGAAAGGTCTACAATTCACATTTACTGTGTATCTAGCAAGGTAAACTCTTAGCATGATAGTCTCCATTTCCAAGGAGCAAGGTAAACTGTTAATAAGACAGTATCAACAAAACTTCATACCAAGAAGTAAGTGTAGATTTTTTAACCAGGTTAAAAAAATTGCCCCACATCCCTCAGTTCAGTAAATTTAAGGGCAAGGATTCTGATCCAGACAATAGGGCCTTCTATCCTGCCAGTTCTATGGTTATAAGGGTAGTAGACATCATGCATGCAGATCAACTGTAGACCAACATTGGATTCTGTTCCTTTCCAGGATTTTTCTTCCAATGAAGCATCATTTCCCACAGGATCACAAAAGTCTTTTTTAAATAGCTCAATCAAATAGGGTTTTTTATAATTAATTGATCAGAATAACTTCTAATTAGCATGTCTAATACATGCCAATGGCCACTTCTTAAAGGAACTCATGGGAATGATTTCTGTTTTTTCAACTATGGGAGCTGCCTACCCTCACCACAGTGCAATGAGATAGTTAAATCATCATCATTTCCCAACCAGAACCTTGCCTGTGAGCAAGGTTCTGGTTGGGAAATGACTTGTCCAGTGACAACAGAAATGCAGTCATGGCAAAATAGGGGCCTAGATCAGCTCAAACCTTGGACTCCCAAGCTTAGGGATCATCTTCTCTTTCTAATTCTCCCTATTACATCAATGACTGGTCTTACAGAGTTAGTTTGTTTGATTTTTTACATAAATGGATGGTAAAACAAATAGGTTTACATAAATGGATGGATAGAAGCAAATATGTTTTTGTTAAAAAATAAAATAAAATAAAAACTATTTTATTCTCCTAATGTTAGAAAATGTGACCATGAATGACATTTTCCAGTGTATAACATCCCTGGTCCTAGCCTCTCTGAGCAATAAGGGAGGTCCTTGGAGACCAGCCCAGAGGCAGAAATGGAAGCCACCAAGCCTGCCCCTAGAGAATAGCGATACTGAGAAAACTCCTGTGGCTTTGTGGCAATGGTGCTTTGGTTTCCATGGACAGTTAAATATGGATTCTGGGAGGAGCTTTGTATTTATGTTCAATACTGTGGGAGCAAAACCCAAAAGAAAGGAGTGAGAGTATGACTATGAGCTTTCATGGTCAAAATAGATACCAGCAAGAAGAAATTACCAAGTCCAAACAGGTAAAGATCACCATCCTCCAACCCTAGTCACGTAGACACCAGAATGTTCATAGGTTTGCATTCCAGCACCTGGGGTAGAGGCTGCATTAGGAGAATACAATAAGAACCCTTTAATTGTTTTCTCAGGTTGTTAATCCATTTGGTGGCAATGTTGGTATATTGAGTTCCTACGTGTGAAAAGGGAAGGGGGCATAGGGCCGGCCTATGTGTTTGAAGAGGCCTGACTGAACAATGACCACAGGGGGGACCCCTTTCTGACCTCCCCACTCCTCCTGTCTCAGCTGTAAAGGTGCCTCCCACTATGGCCTGACCAAAGACAGGAAGAGGCGCTCACAAGATGGCTGCCCAGATGGCTGCGCCAGCCTCACAGCGACGGCGCTCTCCCCAGAGGTCTCTGCGGCTGCCACCATCTCCTTAATGATGGACGAGCCTGGCCTAGACAACCCTGCCTACGTGTCAACGGCCGAGGATGGTCAGCCAGCAAACAGTCCCTTGGACTCTGGCCGGAGCAACCGGACTAGGGGTGAGTCAAATGGGTGGGTGTTGGGGAATGGGCTCTTGGCCTTCCTTGGGATTGCCCTCTACGGAATACTCACTGTGGAAAATTCTGGAAATGTTTTTGTAAGGGAAATGGTTCTGGTAGTTTTGGCAGCCACTCCGTGTCCAATTCTCCAAAGTGAAATGAAACCAGGAGTACCTCAGGTCATTAGAACTGTGTACTCGGACGTGGTGAAAGGGGGTGAAGGGAGAGCAGATGATTTATCACTCCCCCAGTGCCAGGGCCTTCCCTGCCTGCTCAAGAAAAGTGCTGTTACATTCACTTTCTCCCAAGGGGGGAAAGCTGATTTTAAAACAAGCCACATGTATTTCACTGTAGAAAATTTAGAAAGCAGAGGTAAGCGGATTCTACCTAGAGGTTATCCTACTACCTAGAGGTCATCACTGTTCAGGTTTTCATGTATTTTATCAGATGTGTCCATGAAAGATGATTTCTATTAACTACTGGTTCTATCACCTCGCTTTTCCTCAGCACGGCCCTTTGAGCGATCCACTATCCGAAGTAGATCTTTTAAAAAAATTAACCGAGCTTTGAGTGTTCTTCGAAGGACAAAGAGTGGGAGTGCAGTTGCTAATCAAACTGACCAGGGCAGGGAACATCCTGCAAATCCCACTGCCCCTGAAGGTAAGTGAAGTCCCCCAGGAGGCTGGACCTGGGTGGGCTCCCAGGGTAATTCAGGGTGAGGACAACCTGGTCACCACCGACCTTCTCTTCCCAAGGTTACAAAATACTTTTCGCCTTGATCAATGTCCTTCTCTTGTAAGTAACTGAAGTCAGAAATGAATGCTGTCCTTTTTTACAGGTGAGGGAAAGGTGTCAGATCCCTTACCTTTAAGAGCTGGCTGAGGGCTGGGGCTGTGGTTCAGTGGTAGAGCGCTTGCCTAGCACGGGTGAAGCACTGGGTTCGATTCTCAGCACCACATAAAAACAAATGAATAAACTAAAGGTTAAATTCTTTTAAAAAAACAAAAAGGAGCTAGCTTAATGCATGTGAAGAATGATAATCCTAGTTAATAAATGGAAAGCATTTAAAAGAGTGCTGGCACAAAATAAATGACATATTAATTTGTTCTCATTAAACTGTGTACAAGGTGTGGTTCTGAGTGTTTTGCGTGCATCTCCTCAGTCCTCCACACAATGAAGAAGTTACTATTATTATCCCTGTTTTACAGGTGAAGGCAACTGAGGCACAGAGATGTTACGTAGCTTGTTCTAGCTTATCTTGCTGAACTTTGAATACAGCTCTAGAATCCATGCAAAGAAAGTCATTAGGTAGATAGTAGATCCTATGTGGTTTCAGCAGTTTAAAGGGAGCTGAAGAAATACCGTCTTACCCATTTCTTTTCTTTTCATTTTAGAAGTTTCGAGTAGTAATAATAATAGCTTTTTAAATAAAAGATGAGTTCTTTCTGTGTTCCAAGTAGAGTTCTGAGCCATTTAAATGTCACAACAATGCTAAGGAACGAGGGTTATCATTCCCAATTTGTAGATGAGGAAACGAGAGAGAGATTAGGCAACTAAGCCAGAGTCACCCAGCTGAAAGAAAGAAATGGTAGAACTAGGATTTTAGCTCAGATCCTCTGGCTCCAGAAACTACTCTGATAACCACTAAGTTATTCTGCCCTTCATTCTTGGGGGTTGAAAGGTGGAACCTAAACCACCATATTTATTATGCCCTCAGAAGGTTCTTGAGGAGGTACATTATGCCCCTTCTTTCTTACTTACTTATGACCACCCCTTACCCTGTGTGTGTTCTCTTCCTGTGTCTCTGTTTCTGTGTGTGTGTGTGTGTGTGTGTGTGTATTTGTGCGCGTGCGCTCAAACTAATCTGAGACTCTTACTGTCTTGTACGTACTTTACCTCTTTTCCTCACCCTACTGCTATTATTATGAGACCTCAAAATACCCATTCAAATTGCTTAGCTCAGTGCCACTGTACAATGAACTCACTGTAAACAATAATAATTGTCAAATACTTTGGTCCTCTGGGGAGCGTGCAATTTTGAATAAATTCTTTTCTTTCCAGACTAATGCAAGTTTGACAGTTCAGAAATGACTTTAATGCATTGGAGTCACTAGGGTCTCGCTGGTGTGGCTCTAATTAACATCAGTGTGACTGGGTCTGTCCTTTCAGACTATGAAAGCAGATGTCCTTGAGCGGTTTAGGTTTGGGAGTATGGTTTTTGTAACTCTGTTGGGAATGAGGTAGCAAGGGAGGGGACAGAGGGAGGGAGGATCCGCAGCTTTGATGATTATTTCCAAATCTTTCTTTGCTCAAAATAATTTTTTTAAGAACTCGCCATTCCCTTGTTCCTAGACATATCCTGACAGTTGCTGTGGGGTAGCCCACCTAACGGAATCAGAGTAGCTGAAACACTGATTGAACTCAAACACCCAAGTACTGTTAGCACCAGAACCGACAGATTAAGACAGCTACTGGCTGCTTTATAGCAAAGCCAGTCATTTCCATTAAATTAAATCTGAGCGGAGTTTAAGGGCACACATTTACAATGTCTCAGGCTTGCTCTGGCCACTAAATTACCTTGTTAACCATGCTCTGTAATACTTAGAAATAACTGTGATTTTTTTTTTTAATGTATGGTTCCTGGAGAGTTGGGTTTATTAGGAAAAATGGACTGAAGTCATAGATTTTGAAAATAGTCACAAAAAATGGATTATCTAGAATCAGGCCTGCAGTGTTCCAGTTTTCCAGATGACAACATTAAAGGAGATTCTCAGGGTAAAGACAGCTGTGAGCAGCTGCAGGAGGCAGAAGCTCGTCCCTCTGCACCCTAACTTCAGCCTCAGGCTACCCAGGAGAGCCACTCTTCCTGCCTGATCTGGAGGCTGGGTCCCAGCACTTAATGGTTTCTCCTCCATACACTTCAATTCAAGCTGAAATGGAAAAGTGTGCCCCTGCTGGGTTATGGTTCCTTAGGACAAGTCCCTGTGGCTTCTTACCTGGCTGTGAATACCTGATTCCAGGAAGCCTGGTGGAGGCAGTCAGCAGTCAGCAGGGGCACCAGGTTCAGACCTGGCTCTGAGGGTCACCTGACTCTGCAGCCCCCAGCTAGTTGGTTCACTTCCCCTTTCTGCTGGAACAAGCTAAGGAGCAGAAAAGGCCGTACAGCCACCACCTTAGCTGCTTCTCTTTACCTGGTCATAGCAGGATGGGAAGGGGTAGGAAAGAGGGAACTACTAAAGGTTTCATGGGGAAAGCAGATTCTGCAGCTAAAAAAAAAATAAATAAATAAGTTTGGAAACACCAGCCTACATAATCATTAAATCTCCTTAGCTCTGAATCCAGTGATTGAGGCAGATCAGGGACGAACCTCCAGAAGCTAAGCCTTGGACTCTTCTTACTTATGAAACAGCTCTTATGACTTTAACTATTGAAAGTGGCATCTGACAGAGAGGATTGATGATTCCCCCAACCCTAAAAAGCCGGGTCTTGAGAGGAAAGAATCCTTAAAATGATCAAAGAAGGCAGAAGAGCAGGTTTGTTTTATTTTTGTCCTTAAATCAGCAGGTGCTGACACTGCAGTCCATTCTGTAAAAGATGTTCCTTCATTCGCTCATCCATTCCTGTTCACCCAGTAAATATCAGCAGAAGACTCTTGCATGCAGAGATCTGTACACAGAACCAAGGAGAAGCCAGAAATCAGGCCCTCAAGGATTTTGGCATCAAGTGGGCAATATAAGAAAGGGGCATGAATATCCGTAATAGAAGGTTGAATGCCATAAGAAATAGAGAGAAAGGCTTACAGGAAATGGCATGTTTAGAGAGAGCAAGGGAAAGAGGGATCAGGGTAGAGTGTAATTGGAAGGGATCATTTCATGCAGCCTTGTAGGAAAAGTTGGTTTTAGGCCCAGGATGAAAAGCATTCCAGCAGAGCAACTCACCCTGGCACCAAGGGAGCAAAAGTAGAAAACATACTCAAGAAACAATGAACAGTTTAATTTGGCAAAAAAAGCGGTTGGAAATGCCACTGGGTGGTTGTCTTAAATAAATACTATCTTTGCCCATTTCAGTCTTTCCAAGGCTGTATCACCTGATTCCAGATGGTGAAATTACCAGCATCAAAATCAATCGAGTGGATCCCAACGAAAGCCTCTCCATCAGGCTTGTGGGAGGCAGCGAAACCCCACTGGTCCATATCATTATCCAACACATTTATCGTGATGGAGTGATTGCTAGAGATGGCCGGCTGTTGCCAGGAGACATCATCCTCAAGGTAGAGACTGTGGCTGTGGGGCTGTGACAAGGCCCTTCCTATAAAAACCCTTCAGAGCAGATGATGGATGGATGTGGATGGACGGTTGAATGGACGGATGGGTAGGTTGGTGGATGGATGGCCAGACAGATGGGTGGGTGGATGGATGGTTGGATGGACGGATGGACAGGTGGGTGGGTAGATGGGTGGTTGGATGGTTGGTTGAATGGATGAGGAGAAAATAGCAAAATAAATGTGGACATTCATTTTCCATAGTTGTCATATGACTCTTCATGTGAGATTTATCATAATTGAGAAAGTCTTTCATTCTCACTCTCTTTCCCCTTCCAGTTTGTAAATATTTCTGTTCCTGTATTATTTTCTCTATTTCCTTCTCTCCTCTCTTTCTTCTCCCTGCTACTTTTTAATCTTCTTTCCCCTTCTCTACCTCTCTTTTTCCCCCTCCTTCTCCTTCAGCATTTAAGTAATATAAAACTGGAACATATATTTTCTTAAATTATTTTTAGAGCAGATTAATGGAACATTTTGTGTTTTATCTAATCACATCCAGATATTCTTCTAAAGTAAATTTCCTATGGTTTAATGGTTCTCCATGAAAATAAAAACAATCCCTCAGCTATTTTTACCAACTCAGAGACATTGCAGGGGAGACACATGGAGGAGTGAGTTGTCTTGGGTACACTGTCCGCCAAGACTTGGGTGAGGAGAGGGACTTCAAGGAGGACTTTTCAGGAGAAAGGATAAAGTAAGAGTTGTTTATCAGACAGAAGTCAAATGTGTGCCAGAAGTGACGAGGGATGCCTCCCTTCCTGATACTCAGATAACGGCTGCATCCCTCCCCTTCTAGGTTGCTAAGGGACAAGCTCTTGTCACACTGTGAGCTGTTTGTTTGGCAAACTAATTGGAAGAAGAGGAGAAATAACTTAAAGCAGTTATTGCAGAAATGCTGACATTCCCACTGGCCTCTGAGGTGGGAAGCAACCCCAGGGGGCCGCCAGCAGTGCAATCTGCAGTGCTCTGCATGGCTTCCTCCCCAACTAGTGGAAACTCTGCTGCCTGGGAGGGCTGCATAAGAAAACATTTTGATTCTTGTGGTCTTCAGCTGGCACTTGCAGGCAAAAGGGCTGCCAGCACTCTTTGCAGGCAACCCTGACCTCTTGGCCTGGGTGTAATGGGGAAAGCAGGCCCCATACTCTGCTCACCTGTGCTTGGACAAAGGTGGCCTGTGTTTGCATGGGGAGCCCCTGCTCTTCTCTGGAGCTGTAGCAGAGAACGGGTGACTGTCCCTCAGGAAGGTTTTTCCGAAGCTCATTCCAAGGCGCCTCTAACAATTGGCTGCAAGTACAAGAAATCTTACCAAACTCGAGAAATTCAAGAAGGCTGTGGCTCCTTCATGGGCCCCCTCCTCAAGAAATGAGTGCAGGGCTCCTCTGAATTGGTTTCTTCCAGAGAGGTGCCTAACGCTGGGGGCTGCAGCCCCCAGGCAGGACCTGCGAGCTGGAGTAATTAAAACCAGAAAGCCTGCTGCAGCAACAGCCCTGCATGCTGTTATGAGAGGCACAAATGGGAGGGCCAAGCTTAAGTAGGTGAGGTGAGCTAGCCTTTCAATAAGGGAGCCCAGAAACTTCCTTTCACGTTGGTGTGTTTGAAATTGTATAAGGACTTCTCCCCACATTTTTGCTGGGGGGAAGCACAGACAAGATGAGCACCTTAGTGTCTTCACACACACACACACACACACACACACACACACTATATCTTTCACTACCACACTCACACACTTGGAAACAGACTCATGCACACCACTTAGACACTTGTCACACACTTATACATACACCCTCATGCACATATGCACATTCTCAAACACACATGCACTATCACTTGTAACAATACTCACGCATATGCACACGTGCACACGTTCAGATTTATATATTCTCTCTCTCTCTCTCTCTCTCTCTCTCTCTCTCACACACACACACACACACACACACTCACAGAGAGAGAGAGAGAGAGAGAGAAATGGGAAAAAGAAGTTCCAGTATGGGTGACCAGGGAGAAAAATCCAACTGAAGAATTTTGAAAAGAAAATGTCAACTCAGCTTGGTTTAAACGGCCATCAATGTTATCGTTTGGGGCTGGCGTAGAGTTCAATGGCAGAGCATGTGCTTAGCATGCATGAAAAAAATCACAAAAAAGAATAAGAGTTTAGTTATGTAATCATTTGACAAAGCTGGGTGGGAAGATTCCTTTTCTTTTGTCTTTTCCTACTTTTTCTTTCTTCCCTCCCCTCCTACCAGCTAAACTAAGCTTGGAAGGCAACAGAAATGAAGGTTGGAACTCAGTAAATAAATGGGCAGCCTGTGTGAGGACAAGTTTGTAGACAGAGGGTGCCCACTCACAGAGGCCTGAAAGGTACCATGGGAAGATGGGGATTTTTGGACACAGGATAAGGGGAGAGCCTGGGAAGTCTCTAAGGGAGCAGCACCCTGGGTCTTCTGAGGTCCTGGGCCTTTAACTTCTTTAGTGTTGCAGCATCTCACCCAGGGCCCTGAACAGGTGAGCGTGGGCCTCTGCGGAAGGATGATGGCAGGGGTTATTGACTGCAGATGCTCCATTCCCCCAGGTCAACGGAATGGACATCAGCAACGTCCCCCACAACTACGCCCTGCGCCTCCTGCGACAGCCCTGCCAGGTACTGCGGCTCACCGTGCTGCGAGAGCAGAAGTTCCGAAGCAGGAGCAATGGACAGGTGTTGGACTCCTACGGACCTCGGGATGACAGTTTCCATGTGATTCTCAACAAAAGCACCCCCGAGGAGCAGCTGGGAATAAAACTGGTGCGCAAAGTGGACGAACCTGGGGTGTTCATCTTCAATGTGCTGGATGGGGGCGTGGCGGACCGACACGGCCAGCTAGAGGAGAACGACCGCGTGCTGGCCATCAATGGACATGACCTCCGATATGGCAGCCCAGAGAGCGCGGCTCATCTGATTCAGGTGGGTCACAGTCAGAACCCCCCAGCTTGAGCAGAGCATGTGCCTCCCTTCAGGCTAAGTGGAAGGGCCAGGGTTGCCAAAGCTTCCGCCCAGGTAAGAACCGTATGCAAGCAACTGATGTGCCTTGGAGTCTAGTGCATTCCCTGTGCATTGTTCCAGATGCAACTGAACGCATGCAGCTGTGTGTTGCAGCCTCACAAGGTTAAGGTCACCGAAGGTTAGCAGGGTCAAGTCATCTTTGTACCCAGTGTGTTAGATGCAGACCTAGGAGTCATTCCCATACCTCTGGAAACCTCCAAGACAGCCTATTGTATTAACTCCCTCAAGAAAGAGTTCACAATAGCCTGACAGTGCACTAATACATTTTTCTGATGGGTGTGATTTCATTTAGATGAGTGTGCATCTTGTTGACTGTGGTTGGATCACCATGGAATTTTCTTCCTTTTCTTTTTTGTAATTAAACTTTTTATTTTGAGATAATTCTGGATTAATAAAAAAAAAACAATAATTCTGGGTTGTTGTAAAAGACAACACAGAGGAATCCCTTATCCACATTTCTCTTTTCAACAGTGTTAACATCTTGCAAAACCCTGGTACAGTATCACAACCAGGCTGTTGACACTGACATATCAAGATGCAGAATATTTCCATCCCCACAAAGATCCTTATGAAAGTGATCCTTTTATAGCCACATCTGCCTTCCTCCTACCCCGCCTCCTCCTCACCCTTGGCAACTGCTCATCTGTTCTCCATTTCTGTAATTTTGAATTTTAAATTTTTTATATATATATCATACAGTATATAAGCTTTTGTGATTGACTTTTCTCACTCATTTGAATTTTCTGAAGATTCCTTCAGATAGTTGGGTATCTCAGTAATGTTGCCTGAGCTGACAGCTTTATTCTTAAAGGGACAGATATTCTTCTGAGCTCTTGGGTTCTAACCCATTCATTCCCTTCACTTATCAAACATGTATTAAGTTTCCACTGCTAACCTGGCCCTGGGTTAGGTGCAGAGAACAGGCAGGTGTTGCTCTCCCCAAGGAGCCCACTCTCTGACAGGGTGGACTTTCTCTTCACAACTGTCATATGGTGTGATAGTTCTGCCATGGAGAACTAAAGTCCGGCTGGTGCAGGTGCTGGAGAGATCTTTGCTGAGATGGGCCTACCTAGGAATTCTTTGTGGCAGAAGAAAGTCTTGAACTGGAGCTTTCAGGAATGAGCAGAAGTTCTCTAGGTGGATAAGCAGCGAGAATCATTCTAATGAGATACAACACAGAAGAACGTTTCCCTCTGTCCCATCAGAGTAATGGCTAATACCTGAAGCCTAGTGGGTTCAAAATAGCAGCAAATACACAAGGAAGAAGTGGGAGGCAAGGGCCAGGCCATGGAGAGCATTATGAGCCAGGCTAAGGCCAAGAATAACCCCAAAGCCATGGAATATCATTGGATGGCTCTAGGAAGGAAGGTGATGTGAATCTTCCAGAAAGATCTGTCCTCAGAGAGATAGACAGTCAGCAGCAGAATCTGAACCCTGCAGGGCTCAGAGCTGCCCTCAAGACTTGATTGATCATCAAGCACTCATGCTTCCCTCTCCCCTTGGCACCTACTCATGGACTTCTTCCAAGGGACAGCAACTCTGATCATAGTTGTGTGTTTGCTTATCCCTCTTCTTCAAGGAGAATTGAGCAGTACATTGTATATTTGCCAGTTGAAACCTGGGCAGCCAGGGGCAGAGGGTGCATGGGGACTTGCCCTATTCCCTCTGCTCATGAGGGCAGGAAACACACCTGGTGCCTGGGCCCTGAGCAGTGGCTCTTGGTGGGAGTCCCAGTTCCAAGGTAATGCTCAGCCCCCTGGATGTTCATTTGCCCAAGAAGGCCTGAGCTCATACCCTGTGGAGGAGGTGGAGGAAAAAAGCAGGGTTACCAGAGGCATATCCTCTCGGGGTTTACACCAGAATTCAAATTACCTGGCCCCAACATCTCTGACCACCACACTTACTTAGCTACATGTCTACTTGGTATCTAAAGTAAATGTCTAGCCAGGGGCAGTGGCACCCACCTGTAATCCCAGTGGCTGGGGAGGCTGAGGCAGGAGGATTACTAGTTCAAAGTCAGCCTCAGCAAAAGCAAGGCGCTAAGCAACTCAATGAGACCCTGTCTCTAAATAAAATATAAAATGGGGCTGGGGATGTGGCTCAGTGGTTGAGTGCCCCTGAGTTCAATCTCCAGTACCCATGAATAAATAAATAAAGTTAATGTCTAAAGACATCTCAAAATTCATGTCCAAAACTGATCCCTTGACTTCTCCACACTCCATCCATGGTCAAACCTTCTCCCCTTTCTTCTTTCCAGTCTCCAGAAATGGTGCCATTTCCCCAGTTACTTGGCCAAAAGGAGTCTTCACGTACTTGAGCATCCTTCTCTCCCAGTTCATTTCTCACCACCTCCGTGGCCTCCATCAGCCAGGCTCGCCCACTGCAAGAGCCTCTTAACCAGCCTCCTTGCTTCCGCACTCAATTGCAGAATGACTTCTTTGCAAAGCCACTCTCCTGCTCTCAGCCTTCTGGGCCTTCTCAAGATAATCAGGTTAAAATTACAAAGCCTTGGCATGGTGGGCAGACACAGACATACTCTGGCCTTTCGTTCTCTCTCCAGATTCATTTCTCAAGCAAAGGGGAGAATTTCTGGTATTCTCTACTTAGTTTAACCATTTTTAGCTGCATTGCTTTCTTCCCACTCTGCACATATTTCAAGAAGTTTTCCACCTCCGAGCCCAAGTTCTTGCTGTCCCTCTGCCTAGAAGAATCTTTTGTAGAAAATTCATGTCTGTCAGACTCACCCCCATACCTCATTCAAGTCTCCCCTTCTCAGAGAGCCTTCCCTGACAATCTCACTTAGAATAGTGGACCTGTCACACACAGAGTCCGTCATCTCACCTATTTTTCTTTCCTACCAGCTGTTTTATGATTACCTGCCAGTCTAGGGTGGCATAATATGGTGGAATGTTGTATTCCAAGCACTTAGCCCAGTGCCTGGCAAGAGCAGGCACTCTAATAAGCATTTACTTACGGTTTGAAAATTTTGTTGAATTTGAAAAATGGAGTCAAATTATAAATCTGTAAATGTATGAAAGATATATTTTACACATTAATTCCACCTCACAGGGACTTGTTTTTAAACCATTTTACCAGAGAACAAGAAGTGCATCTACTTTTACATGCTATTTTTCCCCAAGATATAATCTCTCCTTGGATTTGTTCACATTATTGTTTGAGAAGCTTCTGTGTACCCAGAGATGTGCAATATAGTGACAAACCAGACTGACGCAGTTCCTGGCCCTATAGCGCTTGGAACGCACCCGTTCTTGACTCTGATCTCAAGTATAAGTCAGCATGAGATGTGTGGCTCTAGTCTGCATAAGCCAGTAGGTGAAAACACAAAATAGACCATGTGCATGAAAAAGAGTCTGTTTTATTTTTCCCATCAAGGAACTCCTCTTAGCATTATTTTTTCTCTCCCAAAAGGAGAACTTTTAGGAGATCATCAAGGTTTCTTTCACGTTACATTGTTAGCGCCCTCTGCAGGTCAATTAAGGGAACTCACATTTTGAACATGATCTGTTGCCAACTGTACTTCGCAAGAGGCAAAGGAAAAGCTCTTACTCATGTTATTTGGAAAAACCTTGATTGCATGTGGCAATCTACTTTTGTAGATTAATAACAGAAGAGCAAAAAAATTCCCTGAGAAAGTTAATTTATGAAATAAAATCTTGCCTAACAGTGGGAATTCCTAAAAGATTCTTTTGCTTACTAAACAAAGCCAATGTGCTTTATAAGCAGGAAAAGTTTTTCTTTAAAAAAAAAAAAAAAAACTAGGGCAAAGCTAGTTGGAAAAGAAATGAAGAAAAAAACAGAATGCTGGAAAAACTCAGCCAAGCAATCTCTTGCTGTTTCTAAAGAATGGATTTTATTTATGTGTTACTTGTAACACACACCAGGCTGGGGGGATTAAACTAAATGCCCTTCAAAGGTTGAGACTCAGATTTCCACCCATTCCTTGGCTCTGCAGCCCTCGTATGTCTACTCCATGAATCACATTTGCCTTACAGAGAAATTCCCAGACAACATGTCCTCTTGACCATGTTCTCTCCCACAGTACCCCACATTCTGCTTTTTTCTGCATTACTTCAGGGAAGAGTTATTACAGAGAGACCGCAACTGTTTTAAATCTGACCAACTTTACATATGTTGAGCCCTGACCTCAGCTTATTCAGCAGCAGCCTGGGTTAACCAGACCCTAGTGTTAGACAGATGGTCAGGCCCCACTGAGAAGAAAAACCTTAAAGAGACAGAAACGTCCAACACAGAGCAGTTGACTTCATGAGTACAAATTGGTTTTTCACTGTTGTTAATTTCTCAAGTGTTTTGAGTACTCTCATTGGACTAACTGTATATAAGAGACAGTGTTTTGGAAACTGTTTGATGTCATACCAAAATAATAGAACAAATAAATAATGGACTAAAGCATTGAGACACAAGGAAGAACAGAAGTCTCAACATCCCACACCTAGGAGGTCAGCATGCATCCACCCCGTTTGCATGAGTCTTTTATTCTGAGAGGTATGCCTATTTTGAGATGCTTTCATTTCTTGGCAATTCTAGATTCATGTATACATATTTATTTAGAAAGCAAATATAATTCATGTATATAATTAATAAAGAAAGAAGGTAATTGTGAATTTCAAACTTGAGCATCCCTCTTGTGGCTTTTGTCTTTTGACAACCCCAGACTTGATGTAGACACTAAAAAAAATTCTTAACCGTTAGTAGAGATGATAAAACGAGGGGTTTTCATGAATACTGACATGTGCTTTTGTTCTTCAGAAGAGTTAATATTTAAATGGAGAGTTATTTTATTAAAGAAAAACTGACAACCAGGCACTTCAGACTTTTAAAAAGAATACAACAGGGCTTTAGACAAAGCCAGAAGGCAAGTA